CTCTAAATTGCTTGCCTCTCTCATTCTCCACAGACTGACTGGCACTCGTGAAAGCCAGATTCGTGAAGAGCAAGCCGGATTTCGTCGAGGTCGGGGCTGCATCGACCATATCTTCACATTGCGTCAAGTGTTGGAGCACCGCCATGTTTATTGGCGACCCACCGTTGTCGTGTTTCTTGACATAAAAGGTGCCTTCGACTCAGTCGATCGATGTGCCCTTTGGGACTGTCTGTTGAGGAAAGGTGTGCCTGATAAATATGTAAACATTATCAAAGCGCTGTACGCACATAGTTCGGGCAGGGTGAGGGTTTATGGCAAACTCTCGCCACCCTTCAGTATCACCAGCGGTGTGAGACAAGGATGCCCGCTGTCACCTTTCCTCTTCAACTTCGCTATTGATGAAGTCATGGAAACAGCGTTCGCTGGACACGACCTAGAAGGTGTGGAGCTACTCCCTGGTGAGCGACTTCTTGACTTGGAGTATGCAGACGATATTGCCCTAATCTGTGACAGCTCCCAAACATGCCAAACAGCACTGAACCGATTAGCACTGGCTGTCAATCGTTTTGGGCTATGCTTTGCTCCATCGAAATGCAAAGTACTTCTCCAAGATTGGCAGGGACCCAACCCTGCGCTAACGCTTGGTGGTGATCTGCTAGAAGTCGTTCAGGAATTCAAGTACCTGGGCAGCTATATTAGCACCCGTGGGATTGAAGATGAGGTTACGAACCGTATAGCAAAAGCTCGAGGTGCTTTTGCCAATCTCCGCCACCTGTGGCGCAGACGCGACATTACTCTCGCCCTCAAGGGCAGAGTTTACAACGCAGCCGTCCGTTCAACTCTCCTATATGGCTGTGAAACCTGGCCCATCAGGTCGACAGACTTGAAGAGACTCGTCACATTCGATCATCGCTGCCTTCGCAGCTTAGCTCATGTCTGGTGGGAACACCGCGTGAGCAATGAGCGTGTTCGGCGTCGCGTATTTGGTGCAGGAAGAGCGAGTGAACCGCTCAGCACGATTATATCACGCACCAGGCTCCGATGGCTGGGCCACGTGTTGCGCATGCCAGCACACCGACTCCCGCGACGTGCATTGTTTGCGCGTTGTGGGTGCGGTTGGAAGAGGAGGAGAGGGAGGCCAAGTGATGACTTGGTCGAGAGAAATGAAAACCCTCACTTCGAAGTTGGCGTCGGTTGGTGCATCCCGACTGCCTGGCTGGGGTCCTAAGGACGGTGAACACGTTTGGTTGGACACACTTGCTGATATGGCTAGGAGCCGGCCCCAATGGCGTTTGTGTTGTGATTTCCTTTGTCCATCCCCCTCCTGTTTAGCACCCCCCTCCAATCACGATCTCAATCGTTAGGCATAATATGACTTTCTTTTACGGCAGCCAGCTGTTAGCTCTCCGGAACGATGTCCATCCGTTACTGGGGACTCAGCGGGCGTGGCACTGTTTGTTTTTTTGTTTTTTTTTCTTGCCTTTTGTATTGCGGCACAATAGCTGAGGTGTTTTCCACCTCCAGCTAGCGTGTAATGATGATGATGATGATGATGAATATCTGCCATAATTTCAGATACATCCAAAAGCATCTGTTTGAAAATCATCAGAGCGTTATTGTTGACATTGCTCCCGATAATTCTATTCAAGCGACCTTTTGACCCTCGCCAAATGTGATTCGCTGAGCCCTCAAATGGTCTCCAGCCGATAGAGGATACTTTGATCAAATATTCACACTGCCATGCAGGGTATCCATTGTCTCTGTCTGTGCGGTCCTCTTGTACGGCTGTGAGACCTGGCCGACTCGCTCGGAAGACAAAACGATTGTCAGTTTTCGACAATCGTTGTCTGCGTAGGATCACTCGCGTGTGGCGGCAGCATCACGTGAGTAACGCAGAAGTCCCAGAGCGTGTTTGGAGCAAACAGCCCACGCCTCCAAATGCTTGTTCTTCGACACCGCATGCGTATTGCGCATGCCAGCCTATCGCCTTTCCTATCGAGCGGTATTTGCGCTCCCCGGAAGCGATTGGAAGAAGTGTAGCGGTGAACAACCAATGACGTGGAGAAGCAGCATGAAGAATGCAACCTCAAACTTCGTCGGATCGGTCCGCCTACCAGGATGGAGACCACGTGATTCGGACTGCCAGTGGTTGGAAACATTGAAGGCTGTGGCACGCAACAGGCGTCATTGGAGACCGTGCTGTTCAACCGTGTTATCTATTAATTAACGTCTTTCAACATAAAACTCCAAAATACAAAAAGTTCTCAAAATGGCTTGTGTAAAATCGATAAAACATCGTTTTCTTCACATATTGTGTTTCATTTTCCCCCCTTTACTTCGCCATGGTTCTGATGGCACAGTATCTGTAACCAGATTTTGAATATATATATATATATATATATATATATGTTCTTGAACACTGTCATCCATATGGAACACTTATTATTCTTTGGCGGCTAAATTTGTTAGGTTGTTTTTGTTTATGATGCTGTTCCTCTTACGGAACTCTTATTCTGTGATCCTAGAGGACCTACGAGCAACAACTCTCTGTGTTCATCACTCTAAATCGGGTCCTTCGGGATTGTCTTGTTTTACCCCTTACCTCACAACAGCGTGATTGAGAGGATTACAAATGATTGTCATTCTTCCGATATCTTTGACAGCCTGGGTCGGTTCCTGCTGCTTCACGGGCATCTGAATAGGCTGGCTTCTAGTGAGTAGTGACTCTGTGTACTCATGGGTACTTCGGAACAAATCCTTTCCGCACTGGGTTATCTGTTCAAGTTGCACTTCCTACATTGGCTAACTCCCGTCTTTCGACCGCTCCACTGAATCTTGTTCGCCAATTCTTCACTTGAGAAGATATTCCCCGCGGAATTAATCAAAAGTAAGCTGTAGCGAGCATGCTCGTGTTCATTGACTCATCTTCAGACTATTACACCACGCTGGGAGGGTTAAACAAAACACTTATCAGATGGGGTGAATAAAGGGATCGAACTGTCTGATCAATATATCTAAATGATTGGTCTACTCGAGATCAAATCAGTGCGCGTTGCGTGATCACCATCGTTAGTCAAGGCGGATGGCCAGTACGAGTTTCTTTTGAGCACATAGTTCCGGGTTTTGGAGTCGGATAGGGATTGCCTCTGCTGTAGCCAATATACGGCATCTGACCGTTCGCGTTTATTGTCCTGATATCCGGTAGATAGGCTGAAATGCCCCTCGCCTGTTGATCTGGTGATTCCATTTAATCAGGTGCGATAGCACGGTACTCGTTACCGTTTTCCGGATACCGCTGCTGAGCCAAACAAAACATTGTTCCCCGAACTCTTTCGGACCGACGTCCTGTAGTTGTCCTCATATATCGACACGAACAAAAGTTGTGCACACAAAAAGGGAAACTTAGACCCTGACACTCTATCCTTTAGTTGTTGGTTCACAATCCATGTTGTGAAACTGACTCGTAAGTCGGCCGCAGGGAATGTCCTTGTGTGGCATTAGATATTCTGTGAACTGTTCTTTCTGCTATCATATCAGCTTTGAATGGTAACGAAAGCTAGATAGGCCACTTTTCAGCTTGACATTTTCATTTTTGGTTTTCGTACTTCCATGTATCGGTGGATGAACTTATCTGGCTATCCATTTCGCTGCAACACTCTATGGATGAAACCTAGTTTTTCTGATCGTCTGTCTGTCTTACATCTCCTCGGTCTCCGTTACACAACGGATGGGGTTTCGTTTATGGTTGATTGGAACGAAACTAACGAAGTGGATGTCCTTTTCGTGATATTTTCCTGTGAACTTCTCTGTATCGTCCCCTCCAGTGTCTTGCTGAACTGGGCATCTAAAAACCTCATGCAATTGTTGCACTCACGCTCGATGGTAAACTTTACATTTCCATGTGCAACGTTGAATTTGGGTAGCAGAGCTTCAGTGCACACCTGGCTCTTCATGCTGAGGCTGATGTTGCATACTTGATGCTTATTCACCGCAGTTGGGCCAAACCAACTTACACTTAAACTAGGTCCTTTTAAGCTGGATAAATTTCATTCCACTTTATTTGGTTTGTTCTACCTACCTGAATAATCTTCTATTAACTGGCCACGTTGCTTGCACTAATTGCGCTTATCTTCGGTAATTTTGTTGCGTTTGTAGCATTTTAAGTAACTTGTGGACATTTCTTACTTATCACGGATTTTGTTGCTAATCAACTTACTTCACTTGGTAATTTAGCGAAGAGTTATGCCACCGTATCTGTTTGCATTATTGAATTTATTTAATTTCAGCTTGTCGTTTAAAGTGAATGGCTGTTGTTTGATATCCCTGGTATGGTTGCGCTTGATGTGTATGTTGACAAGGTGCCTACCTGTCTATTACCCATTACCCCCTCCATACTGGCTCCAGGAGACAGTTGGTCGTTGCTGGAGGGGACGGGGTGCACGGTGCTTGTGGCCCTACTAGGCCCGAAGGGCGGTTGCATGCACTCAGTGTGGAGCGGACTTCGGTCCAGCCACGGCCTTGTGTGCACTTGATTCTCAAATACAGCGTGCTTGTGTTTACTTGTGAAGGAGTGTGGGCCGACTCCGTTGATGAGACGTGACTCCCATCCACATGCCTCCCGGTCTTATTCCTTTGGGTTTACACTGGATATGGGGTTGGAGCTGTGAGTGGTGTAGCGCAAGGCACCCATGGTCCCTCTGTAGGCGCAGGCGTCCTGTGGCTGGCCACAGTGACAGGCAAATCCGAAACCGGATATATATATATATATATATATATATATATATATATATATATATATACTCTTATCATTGGCACAGTTTCTCAATACTTACTGCATGCCGGAAAATGGCGGTTTGCATCTACTGCTTCTCCTTTGTCGCTTTCTTTCTTATAGAAACTCACTTCACCTATTTGTCCTGTTATTGCAGCAATCAGAATGTTGATTTTTTGATCACCTACCCACTTGGTATTTTCTGTGTTTTGAAAGCGTCGCTTTTCAGTTATCTTCAGAGCTACTCGAGGTTCACCAACGGTTCCTACCGAATTCAAAGATCATCTGCCTGGGCGATCACATACAAGGAGGGCAGTCTTTGGACGACTTATCCGGCGTTTGCGCGGACGCTGTCATCCGAGCATGCACCACTACCATCGGTTATTTGTCGTCGAACACCGAGTCTGAGGTGACCATCCGATGTGGACATCTGTTCGGTCCGGTCACTCTCTCCCCGGCACTACACATTAGCTGTTCTGAGTGAGTTCTCCAGTTCTCTTGCAAGTTTTTTATACACTGAGGTTTTTTCACTTTTTTCCTCCGCATTCGTCACATTCTTGTGCAGTCTCCCCCATTTTACGCCTCCCTCCTATAGTGCGTGATGTGCGCTTGTTGTACTTGTGCTGGGTAGGAACGTATCTCATTATTCCCCAAGTTTCATCGGGTCCAATAGTTACCGATTTCACAGGCCACATTTGGTGGAGCTATGTGAATGCACAATATCTCGATTGATAGCTACTCATCGGTATCTCAGCTGCTACTTAGAAATTAGAAGATGCATATTTTCTTCGTTTAGCACTAGTGATCTACGGTTTATCTCAAGATTTGGAGCAACGGTGGAACTCGCGCTTGCCTGTTGTGCAGTGTTGCCGGCAGTAGCTGGGATGATAACGGTTGTTGGACTAAGCATCGCTCTCCGTTGCTCTTCCGCACAGTGCCTTTCTAGCCCGGGGTTTATGATCCACCTTTGTACCTTGAGCCACAACCGGATCACTGCTACTCTTGGTCGATCTTTTTGGACACACCTACCTATACTGACGTGGTTTGGGACTAAGTCCTTACTCTGTTACCTGTGGTCTCTGCGCGAGTCTTTTGTCTGCAGAACGCTTTAAAATCGTGTTTTTGTTCCGACGTTTCACCTATATTCTACGGGTAATCGGTCAAGAAAAAAAATAAAGTCCTCACTAGTACGCCAGCACACTGTACCGACGCTCCGCTGCTGCGCATCAACCACCAGTCGCGCGTGGGCTGAGTATACCGCGAGGAAGCCCATTCATGCGCGGATTCGAACCGGTAACCTAAGAACTACCAACCAGACGTACAATCCTTTCGGCCATTAGCCGGTTCCAAATTGCTTAAGTGCGATCAACTTCGCAGTATCCCAATCATTGTGCAGCCGCTTGCGTGGCAGGGAATGGTCGGTACGAATTTCCGGTGTGCTGCCGGTACTTTGGTTTTGCCACATATCTACTGGTCTGCGACTCATTAAGTTTTTTTCTCTGCTTCTATCGTCGCCCAATTTTTACACACTACTCGGTTGATAGACTGGAATCTGCTGCTCTGTGCGCTAGCTGCCACACACTACTGCTTAAAGGCTCCTTTTTCTTCGGCTCATTGTAGCTGTGACATCCATCCTCTTTGCTCATTCGAATAAGCTATTCATCATCATCATCATCATTAACAGCAGTACATCAGCCATTTGAACTGATGCTTCGCTGCCATACAACCATGAGGACCTATGAAATAAAGAATAAGAAGAGGGAGAGAAGGGGGACTTACCTGAAAACCTTAATGCCCTAAGCAAACATTCAGGGTCAAGGCGCCTACACCTTGTGTAGACAACATTCCGTCACAAACAGCTGGCTATCATGCAAAGATAAGGCGGCATCGGCGAGACAGCTTCCTTGCGGCTTTCACTGCCCCGCGTCATAATCAGCCATTACCCCGCAGATAACTCAGCACCAAACACACTTTAAACAGACAATCCGATTAGGAGACGGCAGCAGACGCGCCACTGGTGTCGGTTGCGAGCCATGTCCTGTAAAGTCTCGAGCCAAGCACAAGGTGAGTCACGTGGACTCCAACCTGGAAGGCGAGACGGACCAACGGCACCCAGTTTAGTTGTCAGTGACTTCATTTCCCGCTGCCAAGTCAACTTCTGTCCACCTCGAGCTTTGCGCCATCCTACACCTGGCAGACTGAACAAGGCCCTCCTAGGTAAGCGGTGACCAGGCATACGTAGCACGTGCCCGAGCCAACGCAACTTATTCAATGCTATCTGTTGTTCTAGGGAGCTAGCATGATCATCACCACCTAGTACTCGCCTACGCACATCATCGTTGCGGACACGCTGGTGCCATCCGACACCAGCAATGCTTCGCAAACAACGATGATCAAAGACTTGAAGGCGCCTCAGATCTTCAGACCGAAGGGGCCAAGTTTCACTACCATAGAGCAGAACGGCCCTCACTGTGGCCTTGTATACACGGCCTTTCAGACGGAGGGAAACTCCCTTCTGTCGCCAAAGATGACGCAGGTTCAAGAAGGCAGCTCTGGCCTTTGCAATGCGTGAGCTGACGTCAGTTTCTATGCGCCCATCATTGCTGATGCAGCTGCCAAGATAAGTGAAATGATCAACCACCTCGAGTTCCTCGTTAGCAAGCGTCAAGGGGTCATCAAGTGGCTGGTGGTCCTGCAGCAACACTTTGCACTTTGAAGGTGCGAAGTGCATACCAAATAATGGGACCACTCTGGATAGGCTATTCAGGGTTGACTGTGCCGCCTCAACATTGTCGAAAAGCAAGACGATATCGTCCGCATAATCTAGATCAACTAACCGTTCACCAGGCAGCACTTCAACGTCTACATCATGAGATTCCGCAAGGGAACACTCCATGATAGAATCCACGACGAAATTGAACAAAAACGGGGAAATCGGGCAACCCTGTCGAACGCCACTTGTAGTCGAAAAGCTATCCGATAGGGCACCATAGACCCTGACGCGGCCTGTAGTGTTCGAGTATAGAGCACGAAGGATGTTCACATATTTCGTGGGAACACCTTTCCGCGCAAGTAATTCGAACAGAATCGATCGATCGACTGAATCGAACGCACTCTTGAAATCGAGGAACACAGCTATTGTCGGTCTGCGGTATGCGTGGCGCTGCTCTAGCACCTGCCGAAAAGTAAATATATGGTCTATACAGCCACGTCCTGGGCAGAAACCGGCCTGCTCTTCCCTAATCCGAGATTCCCGTTCTGCAGTGAGGCGACGAACGATAATCGAGGCCAGTAATTTTGTCACAACTGGCGTTAGGCTAATACCTCTGTGGTTCGAACAGTCTGTGCGACTGCCCTTCTTGTATATTGCCACTATAATCGGTTCGCTCCAATTAGCTGGCACACTCTCTTCGTTCCAGATACGTTCGAATAAGGAGGTCAGTGCCCTGCAGAGGACCTCACCTCCATCCTTAAATAGTGCAGGTGGGAGGGAATCCGGGCCAGCAGCACGAAAACGATTAAGGGCTGTGATCGCGTTTCGGACCTCGGCCTCCGACGGAGGCTCTAAACTAACCGTCCATGGCACGTCCTGCATCACCTGAGTAGGAAGAGGTCCGGGAGCAGGGGGCCAGCTGAACTGATCTTGAAAGTGCTCAGCCCAACGAGCCATACGGCGCTCCTTATTGTGTATCAGCGCACCCGCGCTGTCTCTGATTGTCTCACTGACGCCTGGTTTTCTGGGACCATTGGTGCGGATTAGCTGGAAGAGCTTGCGGTAATTGCCTACTGCTCCTGCCTCCTCCATTTCTTGAGCCCGACTGGTCCACCAGGCTTCCTTGTCAGCACGTAGGCTCCGCTTTGGTTCACGCCTAATAGCCCGTCTGGTCACATTGTGTTCAGAACCAGCCGGGAGGTGTCTTCTAGCTTCCAACAGGTTCACGGACCTCTCGGATATCCAGTGACTAGTGCGGTGACGACTGATAGTGCCACAAGCAGATGCTCCTGCGTCGTGCATAGCGGCCGAGATTCTATTCCACTGAAGTTCAGTGTCATTGGGACAAGACAGCGAGAGTTCGCTATGCAGTGCTTCTTGATAGGCTTGCCTGACAGAGGGCTGGGACAATTTCTCCGTTGCCAATCGGGGGAGACGCTTTGTGCGCCTTCCGGTAAAGTTCATGGAGAAACGACAGCGCACCAAGGCATGATCAGAGTCGGCACAGGTACTCCAGTACGAGCGGCAATCCAGAATGGAACCGCGCCACCTGTAACTTATGGCTATGTGGTCAATTTGGGTCCATCGCTGGCCAGCTACAGGTGGACGCCAAGTGGCACTTCGGCGCCCACTGTATCTAAAAGCAGTGCTAGTAAGAAACAACTGGTGCTCCGCACACAGTTGCAGCAAACGCTCGCCGTTGTCAGTCCGTTCGGAGTTAAGTTCATAATTACCACCCAGCTGAGCTTCTGAAGAGCTCAGACGCCCTACTTGTGCGTTCATATCCCCTGCAAGTACTATAATATCTGAACTAGTAGTACTGCGTAGCAGCGCGTTCAGTTCGTGATAGAAAGTGTCCTTGACTGCATTAGAACTGCAGTCGGTGGGAGCATAAGCAGAAATCACAAACAAACAGCGTTTTGTTTTACTTCCCGAATTCACCTTAGCTGATGTCGTCAAACAGGCTGCACATAAACGGCTGTTCACCGGAATCCAATCAACTAACGATGACTCAGCCTTGCAGCTGAGAATGATACCTACACCAGCTTGACCCGTGAGTGCCGCATCGGCGTCTCCGGATGCTTGCAACCAATAACGAGAGGATAAGCCGGGTGCAGTCAACTCAATAACCCCGTTAGGGTCATTAATCCTAGTTTCGGACACACAACACACATCAACACCCAGTGTATCCAAGGTGCGTGCGAGTGCAGCCTGCTGACCTGTTTGTCTTAGAGTGCGGACGTTGAATGTCGCCATGGAAACGGGACAGCGTGGCCTTATAAGGGACTTTTGCCGATAGGCGTCCGATAGGTGCTGTGGGATGGTGGCTGCAGACGGTTCTACTCCAATGGCATTTCGGTTGCTGTCAATTAAGCTGGGAATTATAGAAGGAAGGTTAGTAATAGGGGCCGGGATGGGAGTAAGAGAAAAAGGTGGAAAAGAAAGAAGGGAGGCGCCAGCAGTAGCATGTTTTCGCTTATCTGCCCTGCTGTATGCAGCAGATAAGGCGACCCTTGATAATCTGTGCGACGGCCGATGCAGGATGAAGTTTATGTTTGAAGAAAATGTCATGGTTGTATGTGGGCTGGGATACTGCCAGGGCGCCCAGACCTAGACAGGAGAACGATTAGGGTCCTCATCCAAAGCCTTTTGTTCAAAAGCCTGTCCGCAAGGCAGCGGGGTGGCAGTGATTTAGTTTTACAGAAATGGACGCCATCCCATTTCAAACCCCCAACCTGGAGGACCAGGAGATTGAGTTTGTCTGACCTCTCACCATTGACCAACCTGGTAGGAGTAGCTCTCAAGATGCTCAGAGGCATCACCCAGTATAGCTCAATGGGTCACTGAGGTACGCAAACCGTCGCACCACGTTAAGGTCCAGTCTCGTTGCGAATGAGGCTGCTCTCCCCACTTTTAGCTCATTCTGTTCTCCCTTTCAGATCCGTTCAGCCTCCTTTCTCTGTGGAGACTTTTGGCTTTTTGCATATCAGTGATCTGAACAACCCACCGGTGTACAGTAGACACAGCGTGAATTGTTCTTCAAGTAAGCATTAGCCCCCATCCCGACCAACCGCATGATCACACTTTCTGTTGCAGGCTACTCGTCTGTTCACTTAACATAACTTAGTCATTGTGTTTTATGCACTTTACAATGACTCCACAAGGTCTGCTAATGCGGATAATGCCTATGTTTCATTAAAACGAGATGCATCCACACTAATAAGGCTAACAGTGCATGAGTACTCGATTTGACAACATGTCGTAACTTGGACTGAACGTTTATTTACTTCGGGCCACCAGAGTCACCGGCATTCCATATGGCCACTTAACTGTGTTGTTCTCTCACATGCCTCACTCTCCATTGACTTGCCTGTTGTTGCTATTCGACTTACATAGTAATCCCCCATGGTAGAATGGAGGTGTGCACCACCAGTTAACCTATGCTACCACGAGTAATTTGGACAGACTGATATTCATAGGGAATGCATGTGAGCAATTTAATGATTCGAATGGAGTTTTTCATGATTACGCTCAGTCAAACGAGACATGGCTACAGGCCATTGGCGAATGAGTCGCTATACAAGACAGCTTGATTATGTATTCGCGTCATATATCCACTGTGCCCCAAAGGTGTGCGCCTTTACTGATAAATATTTTGGCACTGAGTCCAGGCAACGCATACCTGTGACGGATCGCAAAAGAACGATTCAGGCATCTCGTGTTTTTTGGATCTTAGCGATTTTCTAACTGCATCTATTTATTCTGAGTTCATTTTACACCACTCAGCTTCCCGGCTTATGCTCTGGCAAGTCGAGTGCAGTCTGTGAGCACCATATTCACGTTGCGCCGCACTCGTGAGGCTTGTGATATTCCCGCTTCTGCTGCCCATTTCTGCCTAGCAGTCTCTCTTTTACTTGCTCCTCTGCATCTCCTCACTTTTATTTGAACTAAATCGACCGCGGTTCAAGTCGCGGCGTTTACCTTGTGGTCTGCTCCTGCTGTGGCACAATCTTTTTGTGTCTCTGTAATCCACAACGCTATGTCTCCTGATCATTTTTTAATAATTTGTAATCTCACCAATTACTGTCTTGTCAGTATTCGACGGTCAACTCACATGGGTGATCCGTCCGTCCACGTTGGGTACTGCAATCTAAGTATGTCCACTACTTCGTAATCTATGGACCTTTTACACTAAATCTCGACTGCTCCGTTTCTTTGGACCTTGCTTCCAACGGCCCTGCTCACTCCATCGTTCACAACCAGGTAACCTCAGCGCAACTTGTTGCACACTTGTATGTTCCTCCAGATGTCGCACTGGATCGTGGTGTTCTAATACAGTTGCGTTATTATTGATGGTCACAATCGCTGTTTTCTTTTTTTCAATTCTAACTTTCTTCTCTATGAGTCAGTCTTCAGATCGATGTCATAAGCTTGGCAAGAGACGGGTCGAATAGTTCTCCATATCGTTTAAAAAAACTGATCGTTGTCACCTTACTTTTTCCTGAATCGACTTCGATTTCCTCGGATGTGAACACGTACTCATTGGAAAATCCACTCACCTTTCCCTATGTCAACTTTATCGAGTTTCAGCTTTGTTTTTTTGAACACAGCGGAACAATAATTGGTGGAGATGGAGTCATTTCCTTCTACGGTCGAGCTGTTAATCCGCCTCGCCTGCAGCACACTTTACATCATTCGATTCGTTAATCGCTTGTAGAAATCGTTTCCTGAGATATCCACTCGATCTTTCCAAACCAGTGTGTTGACGCATCTAATGAAAACACCCGAAAGGCATGATGGTCGTCTAGAAGCTGGATTCCTCATTTGCATCTACATACCAAGATATGGAATATGCCTCTGTCTTGTGACTTTGGCAATTGCGATAGATCGTCCACTTATTTCGATCACGCATGGTTTTCTTTCCGCAAGTATTCATTCATCGGCCGCAGTTCAACGCAGCATTGCAATTCACCAGTTTTTTCGTAGTGATTGCGATCTGACTGACGCAGTCCCTTTTCATCTGGTGTGGTAGTCACACTCGCCCTCTTCGTTTTGTTCTGTTAAGCAAAAGAACTACCATGCAATGCTAACGAAACATTTGTCACCATCGACCCAGTCAAATTTCTACTGGTAATTAGGTGGTACCCTCAACTGATTTCAGACCCGAAGAAACGTTGACTGAAATGGGTTACGTGCATCACTGTCCACATGCCAGGCATGCACTTGACGATCTTGGCAAACGTGAGCAGCGCTAAAACCATAGTTGGATCAACGCTGAGAATCAGTGGGAGATGTTCTACAGCCACGAAATCTAGTCGATCCGTCCTTCTGATGGGGTCTGGAGCCATGCCAAGTGCCAACCAAACTGGATCGGATCCGACACGTATATCAGAACGATGCTTCTTTGATTAATACTTGTACCTTTATCCAACTGGAACCGTACAGTTCTGTAACCAGTCAACAATGTTGCATGGATGCACTCCGCCTCAATTTTGTCACATTGCTAGATGTATCTCTTGGGTCTGACGGTGATTTGTCACCAATGCGTGCCTACTAACTGGCTGGCAGCAGTAAACGATGCGACCCCTTCTTCCAAACTACGCACTTTCGGCCCAACAATGTTCACAGTGACGATGATGCTTTGCGTTGCTTACGACTCCGAGGGTCAAACGGCACGGGGTCTACAAACATCCTCCACGGCGATAGGGTTCTGGTCTTGCCATTTGGACCTGAGATTGCGCGTCAGTTGCAGTTAAAAACGAGACCGGATCTTAACGTGGTGGGACGGTTTTCATACCCCATCGACCCATTGAGCTGTATTGGGGGAGCCCCTCGGGCCTTTTAAGAGCTACTGCTACCAGGTTGCTCAATGGTTAGAGGTCAGACAAACTCAGTCTTCTGATCGTGCCTGGCGTCCATTTATATAAAATCGGATCGCTGCCACATCCGCTGACTTGCAGACAGGCTTTTGAGCCAAAGGCTTTGGTTTAGAACTCTACTTGTTCTTCTGTCTAGGTCTGGGCGCCCTGCAAGTCTCTTAGTCCACGTATAACTATGACCATTTCTTCTAACTTCAACCACATCCTGCATCGGCCGTCGCGCAGCTTAGCAAGGATCGCCTTGTGTGCTGCATACAGCAGGGCGGATAAGTGGAAACGTGCTACCGCCTGTGACTCCATATTTGTCTTTTTCACCTGTTTCTCTTACTCACATCCCAACTTCCATTACTAACTTTCCTTCTATAATTCCCAGCTTAATTGATGACAGTCTCAGTGCCACTGCAGTTCTACCATCTTCAGCTACCTTCCCGCACCACCCACTATACCTCAATCACCAACAGCTCCTTATAAGACAGCGCTATCCCGTTTCGTTGGCGGCGTTCAACGTTCGCACTATAAAGCAAATAGGTCAGCAGGCTGCACTCGTAAGCATTTTGGACACGCTGGGTATTGGCATGTGTTGTGCGTCCGAAACTAAGATCAATGACCCTCACGGGGTTGTTGAATTAACTGCACCCGGTTTGTTCTCTCCCTATTGGTTGTACGCATGCAGAGACGCTGATGCAGCACTCACGGGTTAAGCTGGGTTGGGCATTGATCTCAGCTAGGGTTGATTAGGTTCCTGTGAACAGTTGTTTGTGTGCAGCGCTATGGCGACATCAAGTAAGATTGATTTACCCTGTTTGTTGGTGATTTTCGCCTATGCCCTCACCGACTTCAGTTCTGATGCTGTCAAGGACACCTTTTTATTCACGAACTGAACATGCTACTATGAAGTGCTGCCAGTTCAGATATCATCCTTCTTGTAAGATATATGAGTAGACAACTAGGTCGTCTGAACTCTTCAGAAGCTCAGTTAGATGGTAAATATTGACTTATCTTCGACCATACAGACTGTTATGGCCGATTTATCACAATGGCTCTACAACTCATGTTTCATTGGTTTGATGAAGCATAGCCACTCTCTTATCATTGACTGTGCAAAATCCGGACAGTTAGGATTGATTACTCTATATGTTAAGCCAGTTTTCCTCTGGATTGAGTGTCGGAACACATCCTGCTTTTTTCTGTTCCCTTCTTGCTACAGCATTTGGCGTCGCGGACAGGATTTCAACCTATGCGAGGTAACTCCATTGGATTTTCAATCCAACGGAGCCTAGGCTGAAAACTAATACTGCTTCTCTGAGTCTCTTCTTGTCATTCTCTAGCCCCACGGTGAAGCGAGACAATCCATCTAGCATATCAACGATCGATCGGCACTGGACGCGATCCTTTAGATGCATTGCCGATGTGGACTGTAAGGTCGGAATGATCAGTTCATAGAGTGAGACGAGAATCGAATAATAAAAGATGCCATTTTTCACAAGCCTACCCACAAGCAAGAGCGTTTTTCTCCCCAACTGAATAATAGCGCTCAGAATCTGAGCTTTTCCGGGATGCGTAATCATTAACTTTCTCCTCTCCGCTTTGTGGCTGTGACAGAACAGCATCAAAACCAACCTTAGATGCCTGGCTCCGTTGGAAATTGTCCTACCAAAACTACTTGGATCTAATCAGAGATTTCCATGCTGCTCTTAGTGAGAAAAACAGATTGAAGCTGCTTCGAAATTTACTTGGAGATGAGGGGCAGCGATAGTTTGATGATTTGGGCCTTCGATGCTGGAACTTTCAGTGCTCTCGATCGTACATGGGGTTACCAAATGAATGCGTTTGCTGTTAGATACGTTTTCTCTCGAATGCATCAGAAAACAGGCGTACCCTTGAAAGTGCACTCCTCGGTTAAGTCGCGTACTACGGCCGCGTGCTTATTCGTTCATTCCCCAGAAAAGACCGAGGGCTGTATGCTGACACAGCAACTGATTACTGGAATTTCTGACAACCGTATACATGATGCACTGTTTCAGAAACAGATGTGCACATTAACGTGGGATCGAGCGTGCGAGTTAGCCAGAATGAAAACTGAAATTTCACTGCAATGGAAACAGTTCTCGATCAAGTCAGCTGAGGTAGCAGAGGTGCAACCTTCCTGACAATTACCAACTGA